CCGTCTCCTGACTTGCTGGTGGACTGGTGAGTGTTCCACCTTCACTGTTCTGGTGCAAAATGGTTGAGGTTGAAGAACCTGCACCTGGTTCAGCAACCTCTGGTTTCTGGGTTTTGTGTTTTGGAGTCATATGGATCCCACGAGTCGGGCCGAAAAAAAAGTACAACAGGGCAGTGCGCCTTACCCCGTCAAGGCCTTGCTATAAATAGCCTACGTCCCGCGCACCCTCGCCATGATGCCGGGGGACCGTTTGTGGCTCCTCTTTCCCGGAGTCACGCACACCCTCGCCACGGTCTACAGCTTAGCGTTGGGAGATTTTTTTCCAAGGTTTACTCCTTTGTGCCAATTTTGGTTCGCGCCGGCTATTTCATTTGACCGGTACCACCCATAAATGGGACCCGGGGACGCGCTGGATGGGAGATTGGCAACTCCACACCAGTATTATTATTATTATTATTATTATTATTATTATTATTATTATTATTATTATTATTATTATTATTATTATTATTATTATTATTATTATTATTATTATTATTATTATTATTATTATTATTATTATTATTATTATTATTATTATTATTATTATTATTATTATTATTATTATTATTATTATTATTATTATTATTATTATTATTATTATTATTATTATTATTATTATTATTATTATTATTATTATTATTATTATTATTATTATTATTATTATTATTATTATTATTATTATTATTATTATTATTATTATTATTATTATTATTATTATTATTATTATTATTATTATTATTATTATTATTATTATTATTATTATTATTATTATTATTATTATTATTATTATTATTATTATTATTATTATTATTATTATTATTATTATTATTATTATTATTATTATTATTATTATTATTATTATTATTATTATTATTATTATTATTATTATTATTATTATTATTATTATTATTATTATTATTATTATTATTATTATTATTATTATTATTATTATTATTATTATTATTATTATTATTATTATTATTATTATTATTATTATTATTATTATTATTATTATTATTATTATTATTATTATTATTATTATTATTATTATTATTATTATTATTATTATTATTATTATTATTATTATTATTATTATTATTATTATTATTATTATTATTATTATTATTATTATTATTATTATTATTATTATTATTATTATTATTATTATTATTATTATTATTATTATTATTATTATTATTATTATTATTATTATTATTATTATTATTATTATTATTATTATTATTATTATTATTATTATTATTATTATTATTATTATTATTATTATTATTATTATTATTATTATTATTATTATTATTATTATTATTATTATTATTATTATTATTATTATTATTATTATTATTATTATTATTATTATTATTATTATTATTATTATTATTATTATTATTATTATTATTATTATTATTATTATTATTATTATTATTATTATTATTATTATTATTATTATTATTATTATTATTATTATTATTATTATTATTATTATTATTATTATTATTATTATTATTATTATTTTGATTTTTCTCAGCTATTTGCCGGTTGCAATAGGCATAGTTAAAGAAGAAATTCATCTTATTCTAACACGCCCAAAAATTTCCTCACTATATGGCAGGTCTGTAGGATGGCTGCTTTTTGTAGATGTGGTATAATGGGAGGTATATTTAGTTTTTCTAGTTGTTTAGAAAGGTTAACGGAGACAATTCCTGTAATAGTCCAAGAGCCCGTGAGAGCCAGACCTTCGGAATTTTATAAAAGCTGAGAGTTCTTCTGTGTATGTCCCCAATACAGGTAAGAATGATCCCCACTTATGAAACCTGAGTAGTGGTGGCTTTGGCAGGTAACAGGTAGCAAAGGTGCATAAAATGCCACCTCAAATTTATTAATTTATAAAACTCAATTTTTTTATATTTTATTCGTAATAATATTAAAACTCGCGTTGCTCATTGCCAGACACTTGATATGGTTACAACCCTCTGCCAGACACCCCTGAACTATTATAATTTGTAACTATACTTACGTTATATTATAAAAGCTAAATTTTATATATATTGTTTGGACAACTATTAAATAATGTTTCCTTAATAGCCAGACAATTTCGAGGGTTATATCGTCCTGCCAGACGTATTAAATATGTACAATAGTTATGAGTGAGAGGAATGCAGCAACGGGTGTGAGAAATAGAGTGTGCAGTCTATTGCGATCTTTTACTGCGCATCAGCTGCTCATTGTGTATTATGTAGTGCGCGCTTATGCTCATAGTAAACGTACATCAAAAGTGGCGAAGATCTAATAATATTTACCGAGAAGACTTTAAAAAAGTGTCAGAATATTCTAAAATTAAGAAAAATACACAAACTTAAATACAAAGACGTTATTTTACCTAGTGAATATACAGAGAGTGGTTATCACAGATCATGTTATAAAGCATTTACAGGTCTAATGAAAAAATACTTCACCTCTGAACTGAAAAAAAAAAAACAAGCAAGTTGTGTTGTTACAGACAAATCATTTCCAACTTCATCGTCGACTCCAGATTTGAGTTTAGAACCACCTGATACAGAGTCTTCATCAATAGAATCTTCAACAATATCTCTACAAATTTTATTTTCTCAATCAATAGAAGCACAACCGTCAACATCTCAAGATGAATCTTCCACGACATCTCAGCCGACTCCAATTTCTGACTCAATAGGTCTACAATCTTCAATTCTTCAAGATTTTTCTGGTATTTTTGAACCGGATGTTAGTGATAATAATATTGTAACTCAGGACGTAAATACTTCGACTGATAATATTGCTGGTAATAATGATAACGAGGTTGTTTGTATATTTTGTGAAAGGAAAAAGAAAAAAGTGAGATCGAGAATGGTTCGGCCTCATGCAGCAGATGTCCATCAATGTAAAGCTAGTATTAAACCCAAAATAGAAAATTATGAACAGTATAAAGATTTTCTAAATAAATTGGATAATTTTTCTGGTCCAAAAATTTACTATCATACAGAATGCCGCGTTGATTTTATTAATGCTGTATCTTCATTAAAAACAACGCGTAGCAAAACGGAGTGGCATTATCACCGAGAATATCACCAAATAGTTTTTAATGAAATCAGTACAATCATTAAGGAAGACGTGATTAAAAAATGACACTGTTTTTTATTAATTTATTTACATGAATTATATATCGATTCATTAGAAAAAATTTTCCAAGAAAATTCTATTGACAGGACTGTTACTTTTACACACCACCTTGAAGAAAAAATTTTGAAAATATTCTCTAAGGATATAAAGTTCTTTACTGTTCGCAAAAAAAAAATAAAAGATCGCAATAGACTGCACGCTCTATTTCACACACACCCGTTGCTGCATATGCTCCTCTCACTCATAACTATTGTACACATTTAATACGTCTGGCAGGACGATATAACCCTCGAAATTGTCTGGCTATTAAGGAAACATTATTTAATAGTTGTCCAAATAATATATATAAAATGTAGCTTTTATAATATAACGTAAGTATAATTATAATAGTTCAGGAGTGTCTGGCAGAGGGTTGTAACCATATCAAGTGTCTGGCAATGAGCAACGCGAGTTTTAATATTATTACGAATAAAATATAAAAAAATTGAGTTTTATAAATTAATAAATTTGAGGTGGAATTTTATGCACCTTTGCTACCTGTTACCTACTAAAGCCACCACTACTCAGGTTTCATGGGCGGGGATCATTCTTACCTGTATTGGGGACATACACAGAAGAACTCTCAGCTTTTATAAAATTCCGAAGGTCTGGCTCTCACGGGCTCTTGCTCTATAACAGAAACTACTATTGGGATTATTATTATTATTATTATTATTATTATTATTATTATTATTATTATTATTATTATTATTATTATTATTATTATTATTATTATTATTATTATTATTATTATTATTATTATTATTATTATTATTATTATTATTATTATTATTATTATTATTATTATTATTATTATTATTATTATTATTATTATTATTATTATTATTATTATTATTATTATTATTATTATTATTATTATTATTATTATTATTATTATTATTATTATTATTATTATTATTATTATTATTATTATTATTATTATTATTATTATTATTATTATTATTATTATTATTATTATTATTATTATTATTATTATTATTATTATTATTATTATTATTATTATTATTATTATTATTATTATTATTATTATTATTATTATTATTATTATTATTATTATTATTATTATTATTATTATTATTATTATTATTATTATTATTATTATTATTATTATTATTATTATTATTATTATTATTATTATTATTATTATTATTATTATTATTATTATTATTATTATTATTATTATTATTATTATTATTATTATTATTATTATTATTATTATTATTATTATTATTATTATTATTATTATTATTATTATTATTATTATTATTATTATTATTATTATTATTATTATTATTATTATTATTATTATTATTATTATTATTATTATTATTATTATTATTATTATTATTATTATTATTATTATTATTATTATTATTATTTATTATTATTATTATTATTATTATTATTATTATTATTATTATTATTATTATTATTATTATTATTATTATTATTATTATTATTATTATTATTATTATTATTATTATTATTATTATTATTATTATTATTATTATTATTATTATTATTATTATTATTATTATTATTATTATTATTATTATTATTATTATTATTATTATTATTATTATTATTATTATTATTATTATTATTATTATTATTATTATTATTATTATTATTATTATTATTATTATTATTACACCGCGGTAAATATTTTTGTGATATTTTACTGAAATATTAGTTGGTTTTATATTTATTACGACTTAATTAACTGGTAATATTTTTATTTAAATATGGTTGAAACTAGTGCGGATAATTCTGCTGCCTGTGATGGTCCTAATTTTTGTATTCGATGCAAAAATAAGGTTGGTACAGGGATTAGATGCATAAAATGTGGAACTCTTTCTCATAAAAGCTGTTTAAATAAGTTAAAGACAGTAGTAATTATTGATAATTATACGTGTATTTGTTGCGAGAATACAGATAAGGTAGGAAATATGTTGAATAGGAGTACCTCCGAATCTGATATTAATGACAAACATATTGTCGAAAATATTAATGCTGATGTTGAAATCTTTAAAGTTAAGCTAAAACACCTAGAAAATATCTTGAAAGAAAAGGACGATATAATTAAATATCAGGATATCGCAATCAAGTCGCTAAATGATCAGATTGACCTAATGAAAAAGGTCAACCACATGTTTAATGCTCAAGAACATATCCAGCAGATACTACCTAAACAACAAAGTAAATTTACCAATGGCCCTCCAAGACAACCGATGCTAAAAACACCTAACGTCACTTGCCAACCTAATAAAAAGCCTATTCAAGTCCAAGAAGTTAATGCAGCTTTAGAATCAATAACTACCAAGCAACTCTGTGATAATTTCATAAATATCCAGAATGACACACTGCAAAGAACAACAAAACCAAAGAATATATTAATAGGCAACGGCAGTTCCACGAATAAGTGCCCTTTCAAAGCTGCTCCAAAGAATGTCATGCGACATTATCATGTAACCAACATGGAAGTGGACGTAGATGTTAAGGAACTTGAACGTTATCTCAAAAACTATGCTCCAGATGTTACTGTTTTTAAGTTGAATTCAAGAAATCCAAATATGTATTCGTCTTTTAAGATATCAGCTCCTCCAAATCAAGCTGAAAAATTACTGGATAGTGAAATCTGGCCAGATAAAGTGATATTAAATTATTTTTTTCCGTCGAAAAGACTTAATAACGGAGAATCTGTATATCAATCCCATTCAAACTCGGAAAAATAATTTAACATTGTCAATTTTGCATGTAAATGTCCGAAGTCTTTGCAATAAAGTGAACGAACTTCATGTTTTTTTAAATAACTTTTCTTTTGATGTTTTATGTGTGTCTGAACACTGGCTTAATGATGCTAATTTAAGGACAGTAAATATAGATAATTATCAGCTTGTTTCTTTTTATTGCAGGGATATAAGACAACATGGTGGTGTCGCAATATATGCCAAAAGCGGGATTCAGCTGAAAAGTGTCGAGGTCACAGATTTCTGTCGTCCTATTCATGCTGAGTTTTGTGGGGCAGAAATTGTTGGCACCAACATTTTTATTTTGGCTGTATATAGATCATCTAGTTTTGGAGATCCTAGTATTTTTAAAATGTGCCTTTTAAATTTGTTAGATTTTATTTTTAGGAAATATCAAAAGATTATTTTATTAGGTGACTTTAATTTGGATTTTAACGGTAATGACGAATTTATGTTTAATTTTAATAATTGTCTAAAGACCTTTGGACTAGAGCATAATATTCACGTTCCTACAAGAATTACACCTACCACTCAAACGTGTCTTGATAATATCATAACTAACTTGAACTCTAAAAACTTTACTACCGGTGTAATTGATACGATGATAGCCGATCATCTTGGTATATATACGACAGTTAATACTGGAGTATGTGGGGATAATAACTGTAATAAATATTTGAAAAGATCAATCACTAATAAAACTATTAAAAAATTTGTTGATTTTATAACTAAAATTATTTGCAAGGAATCAGTTTATGAAGATATGAATGCACCAGACTTGAGTGACCTTTTGCATAACACACTAGTCGAATGCGCGAATGAGTGTTTTCCTTTAAAAACCTTCTCAAAACGCTGTAAGGGTTTAAGTTGGTTTAATGATGATCTTAAATATAAGAGAAAAGAAATGTTTTTTTGGCAAAAAAGATTTAAATTCACAAATTCAGATTTGGATTGGCGCGAGTTTATACATATACGGAAACAATATCGTAAAGCATTAGTAAAGGCCAAACGAGAGTCATACGCTGAAGAAATTGAGACTTCAGATAATAAACCTAAAACAATATGGAAGATTGTAAATTATTCAAATAAATCTAAAAGGTCAAATGAAAAACCCACCACTCTCTCTTCGGATGCATTTAACATATTTTTTTCTCAAATAGCCGAAGTTATTTCTGGGAGTATAAATACTGATAGTGCTAACCCATTAGATTATTTAAATAGGCAACCAAAACCCTCATTTTCCTTTTTCTTGTCACCTGTATTAGAAAGTGATATGCGTGCCGCTATTCTAAGGTTAAAAAACTCTGCATGCCTTGATCACTACGGACTTAGTAGCCGCATGATTAAATCAGCAGTTGAAGTATTTGTCAAGCCACTTACTATACTTATCAATAAATGTTTTCAAGAAGGCCACTGGCCAAATTCACTAAAAATTTCAAAGGTATTGCCACTCTTTAAGAAGGGTGACATTGAATGTATAGACAATTACCGCCCTATCACTATTGTCCCTATCATTTCCAAAATTTTTGAGATTATCGTTAAAAATAAATTAGTTTCCTATTTAGAAAATAACAATTTATTTTCTCAATCACAATTTGGCTTCAGGCAAAAAAAATCAACAATTGATGCGGTAACAGCCTTGATTGAAGACGTAGTCGATGGCATTGATCAAACGTACAACACACATGCCACTATGTGTGATCTAACCAAAGCATTTGACTGCGTTGATATTGAGTTGTTACTGATTAAATTGGACTATTATGGAATAAGGGGCAATAGCTACGACTTACTAAAGTCCTATCTGACCGAGCGGGTGCAGTATGTAAGTCATGAAAATATTGAATCAGAGATTTTACCTGTTAAAAACGGTGTCCCACAAGGATCAGTCCTAGGACCTATCCTGTTTTTAATTTACATAAACGATTTACCAACAACACTCGACGCTTGTACCTGCATACTGTACGCTGATGATACAACCCTTCTTTCTAGGGGAAACACAGCTTCAAGTGAGAACGATCTAGACACTGCTAAAAGATGGTTCACTGCCAACAAGTTAAAACTTAATGAAAGTAAAACTACAAGAATATTATTTAGCGCGGATAAACATGCAATTAAATCTAAACCGGTTAAATTGTTGGGTGTTACACTTGACACAACCTTGAACTGGGTAGCACATGCTGACACTCTCAGCCGGAAATTAGCATCCCAAAATTTTGTTATCAGACAATTAAGTTCGGTTTTAGATATAAATGCCTTAAGAACTATATATTTCGCTCTAGTCCACAGCCACTTAACATACGGAATTATACTTTGGGGTAGGACAAGTGCTCTACAGAAACTCTTTAGCTGTCAAAAAGCTGCAGTACGGATAATTGGAGGAGCTCCATATGGAACTCACTGTCAACCGTTGTTTAAGGGTTACAGGATCCTTCCAGTGCCTTGTGTATATATTTTGGAATCATTGTTATGGATACACAAAAATAGAAATCATATCCCCACACACACGGGTATTCACAATTATGCTACAAGGAATAGGGAGAATCTTGTAAACCCTTTCTCACGGATAAACATCACCCAAAATAATAAAGCAGACTATAATTTATATAACAACTTTGTGAACTATCATCGTAACGTTTCTATTAAAAATATGAATGTTAATAAATTCCGTTTAACAGTTAAAGAGTTCCTACTGGAGCATTGTTTCTACTCTATTCAAGACTTTTTTATATTTACAAAATAGTATTTGTTTCGTATCTACTTTATTTGTCTTTTTAAATTTTTATCTTATATTTTGTATTTGTATTTGTCTTTTTAAATTTTTATCTTATATTTTATATTATATTTTTATCTGTAATAGTTTACTACCATTGTACTGTGACGTAAAATACAAAAACCATGTAATTAAGTCAATAAACATATCTATCTATAAACATATCTATCTATTATTATTATTATTATTATTATTATTATTATTATTATTATTATTATTATTATTATTATTATTATTATTATTATTATTATTATTATTATTATTATTATTATTATTATTATTATTATTATTATTATTATTATTATTATTATTATTATTATTATTATTATTATTATTATTTATTATTATTATTATTATTATTATTATTATTATTATTATTATTATTATTATTATTATTATTATTATTATTATTATTATTATTATTATTATTATTATTATTATTATTATTATTATTATTATTATTATTATTATTATTATTATTATTATTATTATTATTATTATTATTATTATTATTATTATTATTATTATTATTATTATTATTATTATTATTATTATTATTATTATTATTATTATTATTATTATTATTATTATTATTATTATTATTATTATTATTATTATTATTATTATTATTATTATTATTATTATTATTATTATTATTATTATTATTATTATTATTATTATTATTATTATTATTATTATTATTATTATTATTATTATTATTATTATTATTATTATTATTATTATTATTATTATTATTATTATTATTATTATTATTATTATTATTATTATTATTATTATTATTATTATTATTATTATTATTATTATTATTATTATTATTATTATTATTATTATTATTATTATTATTATTATTATTATTATTATTATTATTATTATTATTATTATTATTATTATTATTATTATTATTATTATTATTATTATTATTATTATTATTATTATTATTATTATTATTATTATTATTATTATTATTATTATTATTATTATTATTATTATTATTATTATTATTATTATTATTATTATTATTATTATTATTATTATTATTATTATTATTATTATTATTATTATTATTATTATTATTATTATTATTATTATTATTATTATTATTATTATTATTATTATTATTATTATTATTATTATTATTATTATTATTATTATTATTATTATTATTATTATTATTATTATTATTATTATTATTATTATTATTATTATTATTATTATTATTATTATTATTATTATTATTATTATTATTATTATTATTATTATTATTATTATTATTATTATTATTATTATTATTATTATTATTATTATTATTATTATTATTATTATTATTATTATTATTATTATTATTATTATTATTATTATTATTATTATTATTATTATTATTATTATTATTATTATTATTATTATTATTATTATTATTATTATTATTATTATTATTATTATTATTATTATTATTATTATTATTATTATTATTATTATTATTATTATTATTATTATTATTATTATTATTATTATTATTATTATTATTATTATTATTATTATTATTATTATTATTATTATTATTATTATTATTATTATTATTATTATTATTATTATTATTATTATTATTATTATTATTATTATTATTATTATTATTATTATTATTATTATTATTATTATTATTATTATTATTATTATTATTATTATTATTATTATTATTATTATTATTATTATTATTATTATTATTATTATTATTATTATTATTATTATTATTATTATTATTATTATTATTATTATTATTATTATTATTATTATTATTATTATTATTATTATTATTATTATTATTATTATTATTATTATTATTATTATTATTATTATTATTATTATTATTATTATTATTATTATTATTATTATTATTATTATTATTATTATTATTATTATTATTATTATTATTATTATTATTATTATTATTATTATTATTATTATTATTATTATTATTATTATTATTATTATTATTATTATTATTATTATTATTATTATTATTATTATTATTATTATTATTATTATTATTATTATTATTATTATTATTATTATTATTATTATTATTATTATTATTATTATTATTATTATTATTATTATTATTATTATTATTATTATTATTATTATTATTATTATTATTATTATTATTATTATTATTATTATTATTATTATTATTATTATTATTATTATTATTATTATTATTATTATTATTATTATTATTATTATTATTATTATTATTATTATTATTATTATTATTATTATTATTATTATTATTATTATTATTATTATTATTATTATTATTATTATTATTATTATTATTATTATTATTATTATTATTATTATTATTATTATTATTATTATTATTATTATTATTATTATTATTATTATTATTATTATTATTATTATTATTATTATTATTATTATTATTATTATTATTATTATTATTATTATTATTATTATTATTATTATTATTATTATTATTATTATTATTATTATTATTATTATTATTATTATTATTATTATTATTATTATTATTATTATTATTATTATTATTATTATTATTATTATTATTATTATTATTATTATTATTATTATTATTATTATTATTATTATTATTATTATTATTATTATTATTATTATTATTATTATTATTATTATTATTATTATTATTATTATTATTATTATTATTATTATTATTATTATTATTATTATTATTATTATTATTATTAGGTGGAATAGTACTACAACCCACACATATATTTCTGTGCTCTCTATGTTTAGTTGTATAAGTGCTGTTTTCAGTTGTTTTTAATTTCTAATTTGTGTAAAAGTGCCATTGTAGACGACTGGAAATTGCATATAAGTGTTAGCAGGTATTTTTGTGAACTTTTTTTAACCATTTTAAACCATTAAATCTATCTCAAGACAGACATTCCATTGATGTTTACCTATTTTTTGGTTATTTTTTGGCTGTTTGGACGGAGAACTATCACACCAGCGGTCAAGAGAAATTAATTAATTTAAATTGATTAGAATAATCTGCACATTTTTCTTTTCCACTTAATACATTTATTAACTAAATTTTGCCAAAATTATCATAAACATTTTCTGTTACTCGTTTGTGTTAATAAGATGGGCAAAGACAACAACCCCGAAACAGCTAGTAAATGTAAAAGATGCAGCCAAGGCGCAAAAGTAGGTCTTCGTTGCGTGACTTGTGGGAATATTTCACATGAAAGCTGCCTAAAAAAATTGAAAAACATTATTTATTTGGATAACCAGACAATAAATTGTTGTTCCGACATAAGTGAAAATAACAGTGCTAACAACAACGGCACAAATGGTTTGAATGGCCTGCCTTCTAGCTCAAACCTAAATGAAATTTTAGAGTTAAAACTGAAACATTCAGAAGATATGCTGACACAAAAAGACCTTACTATTCAAAATCAACAGATCGCTATTAGATCACTTCAAGCCCAAATTGATTTCATGAATAAAGAAATAACACAACTTAAAAAAATTAACAGCAATCAAGATACTTCAAAAACACTTGTTTCTTCTGTACCCCACATATCTTCCGATTTTCCAAAGGATCAGAATGCTAATATTAAAAGAAATAATACATTTTCTTCCGCAACAGTTTCAGGAGCCCTCCATCAGGCAGCAGCTACTGGTATTTGTTTAGACATTATAAACTTAAACAAAGATCAACCTGTTTCAACTAATAGCCGATTTTTAAATAAGCCGAAAAATGTACTTATCGGCACCATGCATGGTACAAACCCCAACTTAATGGCGGCTAGACAGGAAATCATGAAGTTCTTCCACTCAACTAATTGGAGTCCAAGTGCAAATGCAGATACAGTTAAAACTCATCTTAGGGTCATTGACAATCGCATAGAAGTTTTTAAGCTAAATTCTAGAGCGCCTGAGAAATACACTTCTTACAAAATCTCAGTGCCCGCTAGCGTGGTTCCAAAAATATTAAATCCTGAAGTGTGGCCTGAAGGAGTTTACTTAAATGAGTTTTTTCATGCCAACAGTAAACAGCAACATAACCAGGAGTCCAAATGTGATGAATCGTAGTGTAACAAATTATCAAAATTATCAAACATTTTTATCCAGTGCTTGTCCCAATTTTAAACAGTGTTTTAATTTAATTTATATTAATTGTCAAAGTATTTCAAATAAAATAGATAGTCTAAATATTTTAACAAATGATACACAGTATGATATTTTATGTTTTGCTGAACATTGGCTTACGGCTGATGAATTAAAAATAATTAAAATAAAAAATTATAACTTAATCTCTCATTTTTGTAGAGATAGTATAGGTCATGGCGGTGTGGCTATTTTTTCTAGGTCTTGTGTTGAAATAAACCCTATAAACATAGCAAAATTTAGTATACCATTACATGCAGAATTCTGCGGTGTAAAAATCACCAAGAATAGCACTGTAATTATTTCAGTTTATAGATCATCCAGTAGTGGTGACATTAAGATTTTTATTAACCAATTTTCCGATCTACTAGACTATCTGTTTTATAAGTATAAAAATATTGTTCTCGTTGGTGATTTTAATTTAGATATAGATGGTCTTCATGAAGAGTGCAATGATTTTAAAAATATTCTCAGTATGTTTGGCCTTAGGCATCTTATTTATGTGCCAACTAGAATCACACAAACGTCGAGTTCACGCCTTGACAACGTTATCACCAACATAAGTCCAGGTGTTTTTGATGCTGGTACACTAGACGTTGATATTGGTGATCATCTTGCCCTCTATGCTTCCTTCTCAAATATTCTCAAACCAAAGGAACCACTTATTAAAAAAAGAATTATAAATGAAAAAACACTTAAAACCTTTACTGACAATCTAGCTAATGTTAACTGGCACAACTATAACGTATCAACATTAAATTCAAATGAGGTAGCAGACCTTATCATTAATACGCTGCAAGAAAATGCTCACACCTCATTCCCATTACGGTCAGTTAAAAATAGCAATAAATTAAACTGGTTTAATCAAGATTTAAGAAATATGAAAAAATTACTATTGAAGTCTAAAAATACATTTAAAAAAAGTAATTCTTTAGAAGATTGGGCAACATACACCTCTCTTCGCAAAACTTATAAAAAAGCTTTAAAAGACCAGAAAAGAAATACATACTCTTCTATAATTGATGATTCTGAAAATAAAAATAAAACCATTTGGCACTTGGTAAATTCGGAGAGAAAAATAAAAAAGGAAAATAAATTATCTCAGCAAATTTCTGCTGATGATTTTAATGAATTCTTTAGTAAAATTTCACAAAAAATCACTAATACTATATTAAATACTCAAAATGATCCTATGGATTATATTAGTAAGCTTGAGAAACCATCTTCATCGTTTTTCATGGATGCTATATTGGAAGCTGATGTCCGTGAGGCGGTACTAGGTCTAAAAAATAGTGCTTCTTTGGATTTCTATGATCTTAATAGCAAAATAATAAAATCATCTTTAAATATTATCGCTGAACCCCTTGTCATTTTATATAACCGATGTTTGCATGAAGGTAACTGGCCGGACTCTCTTAAAATTTCTAAAATTCTACCGACTTTTAAGAAAGGAGATATGGCTGACATTGACAACTACAGACCAATTGCAATTGTGCCGGTTCTGTGCAAAATATTCGAAATCATCATCAAACAGAAGTTAATTAGTTATTGTGAGAATAAAAATATTTTTGCAAACGCGCAGTACGGATTTCGGAAAAACCTGTCAACAACCAAGGCACTCCTAGAACTGATTGAATACGCCGTGAAAGGACTTGATGAGGGAACCAACGCACACGTTACTTTGTGTGACCTCAGCAAGGCTTTTGACTGCGTAGATCATAACATCTTAATAAATAAACTAGAATTCTATGGTATTCGCGCCTTGCAGTTAGAGCTATTTCGTTCCTATCTGACAAACAGACAACAATTCGTCCACTGCGGAAATATGAATTCAAGTATATTACCCATTGACAATGGAGTTCCTCAGGGATCGGTATTGGGCCCCATACTTTTTTTGTTATACATTAATGATTTACCAAACTCAGTGGAACACAGGAAAAGTATATTATTTGCCGATGATGCCGCATTTATCTCATTAGAAAACAACACCGAGAGCAACCACAGCTTAAATGCAGCGAAAAGTTGGTTCTCAGCTAACCGGTTAAAACTCAATGTATCAAAAACTCAAGAGTTACTGATTAGTTCTAGCAGGTTAGTTAAGAAATCAGAACCTGTAAAATACCTGGGTCTAATGCTGGACACTTACCTAAACTGGCAACCACATGTAAATTCATTATGCTCTAAATTATCTTCTCAAATCTTTGCACTTCGACAATTAAGACCATCCCTATCAAATCAAGTGCTTAGGATGGTATATTTCGCAACTATACACTCTCACCTAAATTATGGCCTGATGATTTGGGGAAATTTTCCAGCTGCTGATAAAGCATTCAAGGCACAAAAATCAGCTTTAAGGGTCATTGATAATGCACAATGGGATGCACCATGTAAGCTGTTGTTTGTGAAATATTCCATCTTACCACTACCATGTATGTATATTTTTGAGGTAGTCACCTATATCCATCAAAACTCAAATAAGTTTGTCTCACATTCTGACGTGCATATGTATTTAACGAGAAACGCCAGTAATATGCTAGTTCAATTCTCAAGGATTCAAGCTACAAAACTCAATAAAATTGAGCTAAATCTTTACAACAAAATCGTCTCTCTACTAAAGGATAATAACCTCAGAAATATACCTACAAATTTATTTCGGAAAAAAGTTAAGGAGTTTTTGTTAAAAAACTGTTTTTATTCAATTGATGAATTTTTACAATTTAAATAGACATATATTTTATAATGTGACAATGTAAAAAGTGTTAATATTTTAATGATACTTTTCACTATTTATTTTTCAGATTTTAAGTATATTTTAATTAACATTTTATGTATTTTATAATTTTTTGAAGATATTGTGACCTCAAACGTATTGTTCATATGTATAAATTGGTCAATAAATGGTATGGTATGGTATTATTATTATTATTATTATTATTATTATTATTATTATTATTATTATTATTATTATTATTATTATTATTATTATTATTATTATTATTATTATTATTATTATTATTATTATTATTATTATTATTATTATTATTATTATTATTATTATTATTATTATTATTATTATTATTATTATTATTATTATTATTATTATTATTATTATTATTATTATTATTATTATTATTATTATTATTATTATTATTATTATTATTATTATTATTATTATTATTATTATTATTATTATTATTATTATTATTATTATTATTATTATTATTATTATTATTATTATTATTATTATTATTATTATTATTATTATTATTATTATTATTATTATTATTATTATTATTATTATTATTATTATTATTATTATTATTATTATTATTATTATTATTATTATTATTATTATTATTATTATTATTATTATTATTATTATTATTATTATTATTATTATTATTATTATTATTATTATTATTATTATTATTATTATTATTATTATTATTATTATTATTATTATTATTATTATTATTATTATTATTATTATTATTATTATTATTATTATTATTATTATTATTATTATTATTATTATTATTATTATTATTATTATTATTATTATTATTATTATTTTATTATTATTATTATTATTATTATTATTATTATTATTATTATTATTATTATTATTATTATTATTATTATTATTATTATTATTATTATTATTATTATTATTATTATTATTATTATTATTATTATTATTATTATTATTATTATTATTATTATTATTATTATTATTATTATTATTATTATTATTATTATTATTATTATTATTATTATTATTATTATTATTATTATTATTATTATTATTATTATTATTATTATTATTATTATTATTATTATTATTATTATTATTATTATTATTATTATTATTATTATTATTATTATTATTATTATTATTATTATTATTATTATTATTATTATTATTATTATTATTATTATTATTATTATTATTATTATTAATTATTATTATTATTATTATTATTATTATTATTATTATTATTATTATTATTATTATTATTATTATTATTATTATTATTATGGTCATGGCGGTGTGGCTATTTTTTCTAGGTCTTGTGTTGAAATAAATCCTATAAACATAGCAAAATTTAGTATACCATTACATGCAGAATTCTGCGGTGTAAAAATCACCAAGAATAGCACTGTAATTATTTCAGTTTATAGATCATCCAGTAGTGGTGACATTAAGATTTTTATTAACCAATTTTCCGATCTACTAGACTATCTGTTTTATAAGTATAAAAATATTGTTCTCGTTGGTGATTTTAATTTAGATATAGATGGTCTTCATGAAGAGTGCAATGATTTTAGAAACATTCTCAGTATGTTTGGCCTTAGGCATCTTATTCATGTGCCAACTAGAATCACACAAACGTCGAGTTCACGCCTTGACAACGTTATCACCAACATAAGTCCAGGTGTTTTTGATGCTGGTACACTAGACGTTGATATTGGTGATCATCTTGCCCTCTATGCTTCCTTTTTAAATATTCTCAAACCAAAGGAACCACTTATTAAAAAAAGAATTATAAATGAAAAAACACTTAAAACCTTTACTGACAATCTAGCTAATGTTAACTGGCACAACTATAACGTATCAACATTAAATTCAAATGAGGTAGCAGACCTTATCATTAATACGCTGCAAGAAAATGCTCACACCTCATTCCCATTACGGTCAGTTAAAAATAACAATAAATTAAACTGGTTTAATCAAGATTTAAGAAATATGAAAAAATTACTATTGAAGTCTAAAAATACATTTAAAAAAAGTAATGCTTTAGAAGATTGGGCAACATACACCTCTCTTCGCAAAACTTATAAAAAAGCATTAAAAGACCAGAAAAGAAATACATACTCTTC